AGGAACTACTAGCGAAAGTAATGTCAATCACCGAGCCTCGACCATTCTTCTCAAAGGTATTTTTGTTCCCCGAATTCAGAAGCACCGGATCAAGTACCGAAAACGCCTTTAGTAGTGCGTCTCCCCGCCTGTTTGTGTGGACGCTACCCCATTCCACTGCCCATGCATTGAAGTCCCCTGCTATACTTGGTGGTATGTAGCAGCTATAAAAGTTAAAACCGTCTACCTTCGCTCGTGTGTAGTAGTTTTTACCAAGCAGCGGCTTTTCTTGGAAAGCTTTTCCTCCGCATGTCCATATTGCAGCTTTGCCTGTGAGGTCCGATATCCATGCTCCACTGTCTATATTTTTATACTGCTCGCTGATTATTGCTATGTCCACCTTCTCCTCGTACACCGTTTGCCTGAGCAGCTCTTGCGCTGCTTCGCAGTGGTTGAGATTCAACTGCATGACTCTCCTTTTCTTGATTTCTTGCACGCCTCCTGGTATAGCGGACACCTCCAACTACCTATCTGGTGCTCGGTGTTCTTTCTTCCCTGGTTTTTGCATGCTCTGCAGTGTGGCTTTTTGTCGCAGGCTTTCGCAAAGTGTCCATTTTCTCCACATTTAAGGCAGCATTGACTTCTGTCTTCCGCGTTTTTGCAGTCTCTCGCTATATGGCCATATTCCAGGCACCTGAAGCATTTTTTGGGGTTCGGTTTCTCCCTTACTCTGCACACAACCCATCCTATCTTTATTTTCTGCGCGTCAAGAAGTAATCTTGCCTCCTGCGCTGGGAGATTTACCACCGCGGTTTGTGTGCCCGCATAAGCCGCCCTGATGCTTTTTATCGCATTCTCGTTAAGGTGGTTTAGCTCCTTTATCTGGTTGCGGATGGCCTCGGCAATATTCTCCTTGGTGGTAATCTCGTCCAGGTCACGGATTTCTACCATCGTCTCGTGGTTAGGGCTCTGATCTGTGACTGGTCCCCTAGAAGCCTACCTATTTCGCTCTTGAGTTCGCCCGTGTCCTTCATTTGCGTCTCCTTAAGCTGCAGCAGTATTTCACCCTTGACCGTCTTTCTGATGCGTGATACGCTCTCGCCGAGTTTCTGCAGCGCCTCTTCCTTTTTTACGGTCCTTAGTATATCGCTGTAGGTCATATCTCCCGTCCGAGCTATAATGATGACATCTGGCCGTGGTGGTGGTTTGTATGCCATCTTCTTTTTGCCATGTGACCTGCGTTGGACCTCTACCCATTTTCCTTCTTTCTCCACCTCCTTCTCCTTAATCTTGCCGGAATTTTCGTTTGGCGCCACCTTACTCTGTTTGGTTGCAGGGTTGGTGGTCGCCTCCTCCTGCGTGGTTTTATTTTTCTTGGGTGGCGTCCTACGCTTTAGTTGGCTTTCATCTCGGGGCCTTTTCGGGGTTTCAGCAGTCACCGGTATGTTGAAAACACTCCGTCTGCTTGCCTTTATTCTGGAGTACTCCTCCAGGGCACTCGCATGCAGCTTTGTTAGTGAGCTGAGTATCTCTCGCATGCTATTGTTTATTGAGCGTTGTGGCGGGCACATTGCCTCCGTCAGCCTCTTAATAGCATCTCCGAGCTCCGACATGTAGTCTCCGTTCTGTTTGGCTCCCTTCATTTGAGGCTCGCTGTCTTGTAGTGCTGGTGGCGACGATCTCGTTCGTACCGGCTTCTCCACGCTAAGCGCCTTTACAGGCGACCGAACTAGTCTTGACGCACGCTTGAACGGGTCAGTTTCTGCAGTCGGTGTTCCCTGGGACGGGTCTGCCCCAAGCACCTTGCAGCCCCTGCCGTCCAGGTTTTTCGCGCCGCTGCTGGCTTCGTTTACATTGTTGTTGTTGTTTTTTCTCATTTTTGAATCCATTCTTTTGTTTTTTCCAGCGCATCGTGTGCATGGGGGCGGGCCGAAATAGACAGGAACGGGTATACCCTCGGGGACTATGCCCCTACCCCAGTTCCTTGAGGCCTGTCCTTCGCTTTACCGGTCCCGGAAAACACGGACGGACCGGCGCTCGCCCGGGGCAACGCGGTCTACTACTCCTGCGTCCAATGCACACTCCCTGACCAGGGACCGAAGTGGCTGGTTACTGATACGCACCGCGGCTGACACCTCGGCAGAGCACGCTCACATCACCGTCTCTACCCCGCCAGCGGAGAAATCGCTGTAGGGATTTCGAGGGACTCCCAGTGCGCCGCAGCGCGTACCGGTCTGGATTGTTGTATCAGCCGCACCTAACATGGTGAACAGTCGCTGACCAAGAAGCCGTCCAATATGGAAGCCGTCGCGCCTGGGTTTTTTTTTTTTTTTTTTTTTTGTAACTCATCATATGTATGATGAGGGGGACACACATGCACATGTGTGTGAGCCGATTTTTGTACAAATTTCAGCCCATGCACATGCACATAATATATTTTTAAAAGAGTTTGTTTATTAAACGTTATTTTTTGAAAGACAATTCGATAAAAAGTGAGATGTTGTTTGTTTTTTATATTACAGAAAACATATTAAAAAATTATTTTAAGATTTGAGTTAGAAATCGAAGTGTATAAGTTTCTCTACGCAAAGCACGCACATGTGCGTGTGCCTTATATTAATAAAAATAAAGTACACACATGTGCCCGTGCTTTTTACCAAACGGCACACACATGTGATGTGAGCAAGTTTTTAATTTTTTATATGCACAGCACACGTGTGTGAGCGTAAAATGTTAGGATGTGCTGCGCATGTGTGTGCAAATACGAACCCTGTTATAAACATACATTTGTATATATGAATATGTGTATATTTTCATTTTAATACAAAAACATATACGTATGTAAATGAAATGATTGCGTAAGTTATGGTGGCGATGTCTTTATTCTTAAAAGCAGTCAATTTAGGGTAATGTGTCACCAAAACAAGAACAATTGCGATAATTCGCTCTCCCATCTTTACAAACAAAAGGACAATGGGGCTTTTGCATAAAAATATGCACTAATGAAGTGAGCTCAAGCTCAAGAATTTGTACTGAGAATCGACTCTGAGCTTAAGTTCACATTTTATACATGATGCCCAATGCCTCTTCATTCGACAACTCGTCATCGTTAACTTATAATGAAAGGTCCTATCTCGAAACTAAATGTTCTCATAGTTTTGTTCTCAAGAACGCTTCAAAATCAAAACTCAAATGAGAACAAAACTGCCGAAAACGTTCTCAATGGAAATTATACAAGAACAAACCCCTGTGGAACGTTCCCAAAGAGAGCAAAATGCGAACAATACTTTCGGGAACATTTCTATGAGAACAAAATGAGAACAAAAGTCTCCGGAACGTTTTGGCAAAGAACAATACGGGAACAAAAGTCTAAGGAACCTTCTTTCGAAGAACAATTTCGGAACTAAAATCTCAGGAGCTTTCTGACAGATAACGAAACGGGAACAAATCTTCTCTGAACTATTCGCGAAAAATGGAAGCAAGAACCAAGTTTTTCGCGTAGCGTTCATTAGTTAGAAATGTTTGAATATTAAAATTAACAAAAAAAAAAAACTGAAAGATAATCATGAAAATTAAGGCAACGAAAGATTTAAGATGCGAACTTTCCTTGCATAGAAAATTGAAAATCGTTCCATAATTGGACAGTTCACAGTAATGATAAACGATCTGGAAGTTGAAGTAATCCAGATTTCCACTGGCTTAGAATTAACAAACGTGGTTCTCACTGAAACAATTTTTCATCCCAACATGCAGACGCCGCACTCATTCTTCACGTTAATTCTCAAAACTTTTGTTCTCGTTTTGTTCTCTAGCAGAATGTTCCCCAGACTTTTGTTCTTATTTGATCATCCTTGAGAACATTCTCGATACTTTTGTTATCATTTTGTTTATATTGGGAATGTTCCCGAAAGTTTCGTTCTCATTCTGTTCTTCTTGAGAACGTTACCGATAGTTTTGTTCGTATTTTGTTCTCTACGGAAACGTTTCCGAACCGTTTGTTCTCAATTTGTTCTCGTTTAAACAGCTCTCAATACTTTTGTTCCCATTTGGTTATTTTGTGGGAATGTTCTTGACATTACTTTTTGCTCTCATGCAGAACTAAACCAAAACTAAAACGCGTTCTCAGTCGCAGAAAAATATGTTGATATAGGACGTTTTTGAATCGGCAGCTGAGATAAGTCGCTAAGTTCATGGTGCATTTACATGGTATGAAGCCATATGAACTTTTGATACGCTAAAATGGAGGGACTACATGTTCTAATGAGGAATTCAATGATATCGAGTGGGATGCATATAATACATTTTTTCATATGAAAAGTTATGGGGAGATACTGTAAACATACTGTTGTGATACTGTTAAGCATATGAAATTATAGCCAGTTGAATTTTCATACATCTTCCCATAAAAAGTTTAACAGATGCAGAGATACCAAGGAGGGTTTTTCCCATTTTGATGCCTTTTTAATATAAAAACCAACCGAAAAGGAGGAAAGTGGCAACTCCGCCATTCACATACATGTCAAAAGTATGAATTTTAAAAATTAAAAACAATAAACAAACAAATTCAAAACAAAGAAATTCTTTGTAATAGAACTTTTTGAATAGATGCAACTCACGTATAGTGGACAATCAAAATACAAAGCACTATGATAACAAACTTAAAAACAAGACATTACAGAACATTTTAATGAGCTTTATATCACAGTTAAGTAAAAATAAGCCTATATTTTCCAAGCTGGCAAAGAAATTAAAATGTGTATTTTTTGTTTTTTACACAAAGACTTGCCAAATATACATATAAGTCAAAATTATAGAAGGCATGTATACTTCTCCCTTTCATTTTTTCATACAGTTTATGCTTCTTTCTGGATTTTACAAAATGCAGGGATACCGCACTTATTTCCGTACAATATGATTGTAATGTATTTTCAATTCGAAATCAAAGAATAACATTCCACGAAAATGTTTGCGATTTTAGAACAATTAGTGTATATTTGCAAACTACTGCAAAGAATGGAGTGTCACATCTTAAAAGGTTCAGAGAAATAACGAAACAAACAAACATTTTATGGTCTTATATTTCTTTCACACCGCATTGCTATTTTTTCTAGCTTTTCCTTTTGTTTAGCGCTGTAACCGCTTAAGTTATATCTTTTAATTTATACATGTGAATTATTATCAATGAGCATTTTTATACCCGAGCGCACTTGTGCACAAGGGTATTATAACTTTGTTCACATAACGGTTGTTTGTAACAGGCAAAACGAATCGAGATAGATATAGACAAATGTATACATAAATGATCAGAATGAAAAGAGAAATCGATTAAGCGGTGACTGTCTGTCCGTCCGTCCGTCCGTCCGTCTGTGCACACGATAACTCGAGTAAAAATTGAGATATCTTAACGAAACTTGGTACGTGAACTTCTTTTGGGCGTGGGACGGATGGTATTGAAAATGGGCGAAATCGAATGCAAGTCATATCCAAAAGATGATAAAAAACTCGATTTGTCCACTTTCGACTTTTTAAAGTAATTTTGTGACGACTCATAAAACTGTCCATGAGATCTACTCCACCCATGTGTTGATTATAGTCCTTAACAATTTGCGGGCATGGAATAGTTTTAGTAGCTTTTTCCTTTTTGTCATATCTTTTGACAGTGCAAGGATCTAGTGTGCTTCGGAATGAATTAATCAGAGGCTTCCTTCCAATGTATGTAGAAACCATATTTACAACACGGTTATCTTTCCACGATATGGGCGTTACATCGATGCCACATATATTGGAAACAAATTCCTTACTGGTGCCTCGCTCAAACTTTAGCATAATTTTCTCCTCAGGAAGCTTACAGTTTTTAATTCGGTTGCGCCGAATAGTTCCAACGGAAAGGATACCCTGTGTTCTCAAATATACTAGGAGCGGAAGAGTGGTATAGTAATTATCAAAATAAACAATGTGATTTTGAAAACGCCGCACTTCGCGCATTAATCCAACGACTATGTTTGCAGAAGGTTGTAAATCTGGTTCTCCTTCGAGAGGCTTTTCTGATAATCCGGTATATAAATCATACTTGTACGCATAACCAGTAGTATCGCATAAAACAAAAAATTTAAATCCCCATTTTTTGGGTTTGTTAGGCAAATATTGTTTCATAAAGCTACCAATTTTAGTAGAACACATTTGTTCATCTATGCACAATCGCTGTTCTGTGGGTATACTTCCGAAAGTTTTGTTAAGTGTATCAATTACGGGTCGAATGAGATATAGCCTATCATGAAGCGGATCGTTACGTGCAGGCTGCTTACTTTTATCATTGAAATGAAGTACTTCTCGTATTTTCTCAAACCTTTTCATTGGCATCTGCCTTTTAATGACAGAAGCAGACCTGTCGTCGTTGCTGGACCAATAATCTCGAGAATTCGGAAGATGGTAATATGACATGTAAAAAAGAATGCCAATAAATTTTCGTAAGTCAAATACATCAAAAGAGAAGCTTTCATCCAGCCCAGCATATTTTAGCGTTTCTTGTTCAAGAACAATGTATTCCTCTAAAGATTGTGGAAATAAATAACACCATACTTTATATGATGTATCCAAAGCTTTTACCTCATCAGAAAGGCTGCTGTCGCCTCTAAATTTAACCTGCTGCTCATTAAACTGTAAATTTCCTTTTTTCCACAAAACCCTTTCGAATTCAGATGATTTTGGATTTACAGAAACGTTTTTAAACTGTGAAGGGAATAATTCCCAAACCTGGTCATCGCTATCATTTACTTCGTTCAAATTGATTTCATTATTATCTTCCGTTATCATTCTAATAAATGAATCGTGCATTGAAGCTTCGAGGTCAACGTCTATTTCTTTCTCAGCATCTTCAAGAACCATCTGCACTTCAACTTCATTTTTTTCATTAAGAATATTTTTATTACCATTCCCTACTTGAGTGGAACAACTTTCCGAAACATCCTCCTCCTCTTCGTCAACACTGTCATATGAAAGTCCATGCTACTGGAAAGCAATTCGCATACTTCATCGTTAGTCATTTTGACCCCACCCACACGAATAAATTCGTCCATAATCAATAAAAATATAATTTTTCAAACAAAAATGTTATTTATTTTAATTTAATTTAACTAAATATAATTAAAAAAAGAGAAAAGGAGAACTTCTTTGTTCAACGGCCTCGGAGTGAATGATAATTTACATAGGCGTTTTGCAGAAAGCAAGCAAATTGAAATTCAAACTCAACGCCTCCAAAGGCATACGGTTAAGGGAAGAGTGCGCAGTGTGTCTTTAAAGATACAACCGCAAATTATACTCGTGCGCGTAATTATGAGTGCGGTTAGGAATGAAATTATTAAATAACGTTAAAATACAAATTTTCCGGACCCGTGATATTTTTTTGAAATCCGAGATGTTAGCATATAGCGGCGGAGCGTTACATGAATATGTGCGTTGCTTAAAAACTTTGAATTTCGTCTTTTTTGATTTAGACATCTGATTTTGTTTAATACTAAAATATTTTAAATTAAAAAAATCAGCTCAAATTAAAAAATCTAATATTATAAGTCGTTTTTCATTAAAATGAAATGATTTTCTTACCTTATAGCACTACGATAACAAAATAATTGGTTGTATCTTTAAAGATACAATACGCATTTAAGGG